ATGCAGCGCAAGTTTATCGTCGCCCAAAACTTTATTATCGCCTGCCTTGCGGCGATAATCTTACCGCACGACGGCAGACTTTGCTGCTGGAAAAGCAGGGTAAAATTATTCTGCCCTCAGGACAATGTTTACTAATTGTTGCCTGTGGTGGTTGCTTTAAAACGTTCTTAGCAATTAACAAGGATCGTTTTACAGCTTTCGCTGAGGAAGTTTTATAACTTTTGCACGATCATTCCTCAGGCCTGCCACTGCATTTCCAGGTAAAGCGATATTTTATACTTTGGATGTACGGTCACACCAGTCGAGTCTCGAATTAGGGTGACTTAGTACGTTGCGATAGTCGTCATAATACATGTATGTGAGCCTTCAGTCGTCATAATACGTGGGCATTCATCCATTACGATCAAGTCGTAGTTATCTTCCTACGTTATATATGAAACGTTTTAAAAATGCCGTATGTGCCTTCCATAGTTGTTAAAACTGCTATCAATTAAGGTGTTAACCGGTAATTTGAGTTATGCATGGGTTTTTATTTTCTTGAGTGTTCTAAAAAAGAATCTAGTTCAATTTGAAGAATGCCAGGTACTCTCTGTTGGGATATCCAATAATCTGTCCTTCACTATTATCCATACCTATGGGTGTATTGGGATGCGGTGCCAATAACTGAGCCTCTAAGCGCGCACAATAACTAAGTATGGCCTAGTCTTATCAGCCATGCGCTGGACCTGGTGTCGGTGTCATCGGATTGTTAACGCGTAGGCCTTGATGTGAGGCAGCGCGCGTCCCGAGCGAACGCTGTCGCTACTCTTGTTTGCCAAAAGGGAGTCCAGAACTCAAAACGATCGTCATCCTTGGAACTTGTTGTACAAGCATGTCGCAACTCCGGAAATAACACCTGCATTATTAAAAACGGCTGCTCACCAAATCATTATCTATCTGTTTATAATGTAAAGTTATAAAGTAATCACTTACTTTCGTTGAGAGATTAAAAAATAACTCTTTTTTTGGCATGAGGTTCAAGAAAAAAAAAAACATTCCAGCTTGAATCAGACACATGTGTTCAAAATACTAAGAATTTCATATACACACCGTTTTAATAAATTTATTGAGTATGTAGTTCAATGGATTTGTACGAATCAATGACAGAAACATACGTTCATGTTTACAGCATCGTCTCAGAATCGTTTTCTCGAAGTGAATCTTGACAACAGGACGAGACGAGACAAAATAGCCAAGAGAAAATTGTCCAGAGTGTCCCGGGATAGAATTGAAAGGCAATAATTTTTCAACCTATTCGAAATTTTATTCCAGATTTTATTGAGCGTTACGAGACATGGTTGCATTGTTCAAACTTTTTAAGACCCGTACAACAAAGTTTCGTGTTACAGAAAATGGAAAGGCTATAACAGTATTCTGTAGATTGGGCACGCCAACGTATAGCTTCTGTATTTAAATTTCTAATAAATCCCGCACTATTTGAGTATAATCAAAGGCCGGTTGTTATTAATGTGTCTGGAAGAATCCATGTAGCAAAACAACGAGGTACAGTTGAAACTGTTAGGGAATTGATTATTCAAACTTGATTATTCAAATGTGGAAAGTCGCCTCGTAACGTCCCGAATTTGCACTCAAAGTTGAAAATTGTCTCAATTTTTATAGCTAATAGGGACATTGAATTAAGGAACTGGTCTCGTCTCTAATAAAAAATATGAGATGCAGATGCTTGACGATCAGGCATACAGTTAACCGACTACCATTCCCTGAGCTCAACATTATAAATTTCTCATACTTCTTGCTACCATCCAGTGGATTAAAATTGGTCTCATGATATTTTTAGACATCTTCTGTTGTGCGCCTCGTGCTTGTATACTTTTCGGAAACTTTCACATTTTCGCTGCAGCGACAATCAGGGCTGCTGGGTCTTTGTTTTACGGTCTTCGGAACTCTTTTGACAACAGCGAAGACTCCAATTAAGCTTCCCTTTACTTTAGGTATGATACGCGTTGCGTGCTTTGGCAAGACCTGGCAGTACATGCGTGTGTCTAACTTCGTCTCTTGCTTGCTCCTAAAGTGACCAACAAAATTTACACTGTGTTGTAAGAAATTTTCCCGTGTTCACTGATTAAAAAGTGAACATGAACATCTAGTTCTTGAGTTTTCAAGTTTTACTATAGTATAAATATAAGTCGTTGAATATTCAATCTTTAATGTTGAATCCCGAATTGTTAGGCGAAGTATGATTTTTGCTAATGTTTATCTGCGTAGTAGCTCGCGTGTACAGGTTCCTCTCAGTAACCTTTAGACTTCGTTCGTTACGCTTATCTTTTGCTATGGTCGAAACTCAGTGACCTTTAGCTTTAAGTGAAATGACCTGGTCAACCAGGTCTGTACATAGTACCGTAACCCGTTTGTCATTTATTACACAAAGGATTAAGGCAGCAAACGCTAATATGATCAATTATATCCTTCTGCAGATCAAATTTGTAAGGTTCATGGAGTCGGTGTAGACGAAGACTTCATAAAACACTTCACCAGAGAAAAAGAATAGTTTTGCTCATCTAGGAAATACGATGTTTCGAGCTCTCTATGGTTTCGAGCTTCATACACCGTACACGCATCTCTCAATGAAATCCATACGTTGTTTCTATGTTGCCTTCTGAATTGTTTTTCTTTACTGTTTGAACTACAGGGATCAATGGTGGATTTACCAAATAAAATAAGCTTGAACAAAAGTGAAGGGATTTGTGCCCCAACGCCAGTCGTGTTGTCTCAGGCCTTGGCTTCTGTGTCTCGAGTCTTGCAAAACGCGGAGTGCAGGCCGTGCCAAGTGGCCGTCTTGGTCCCTAAATTGAAAGTAAACAAGCGGGACAAGACCCTAAATTAGGCGGTCAGCTGAGTCTTGCAAAACGCGGAGTGCAGGCCGTGCCAAGTGGCCGTCTTGGTCCCTAAATTGAAAGTAAACAAGCGGGACAAGACCCTAAATTAGGCGGTCAGCTGAGGATGCCGGTCACTTACGTCGCTCAATCTCGTGGCCGTTTGATGGCCGCAGCCTCGGACCTTTTATTTTTTCAGTTATTCTGTTGTTTCTTGAAGAAACAAGTGGGGAAATGGAAAGAGCAAAGCAATATGCCCATTTCTCAAATCTGTAATGAACACTCAAATTTAATCTACTTTCAGTGTATTGTAATATATCATAAGTGAATCTTAATCCATCAATTGGCAACGTGTTCAGCCAGATTTTCTGCTTTAACCCAAGTAATTGATTGTTGGATGAAAGTAACGCAAATAAATAAATTACTTGAGAATAAATTAACAACGTGAAATTATTTCAAATCGGATGGTTTTGGCTGTTTATGGTTTGGTTTAGGATTTATTTAATGCCTTATTGCAAGGAACGCGTCGTTTAAACCAGCATGAAGGTGCAATATCAACCAGATATTGAACAGGAAGGAATCAATCTCTCACGGGTCTTTTTTAGAATTTGCTGGAGCGAAAGGGTGCTCTAAATTCATATAGATTTCGCTTGTTTCTCATTCACTTTCTTGTCAGTGAATTTTGTCTGTGTTCACTGGCACTTTTTACAGCGGTAGCGAACTGTGACGGCAGAAATTTACCCATCGTGCGCTCGCCTGACAGTTGCTCGGATAAAAATGCTTTGCTTGAAGCACTTCAAAGTTCAGGCCCTGCCGGCTGTATTTACTATTGCATCTCGCAGCGGGAACAACAGATAGTTGTGGAACATTTCTAGCAGTCAAGCAGTAGTTACCAAAAAAATGCACATCACCAGAATAGCAAGGTTGGTAGGTGATATGTATGCTTCAATTAATCAACGTGGATTAGTGGATAACGTGATTGACAATGCGAGTTTATTTTATTTTACCGTCGAGTCTTTATTCGGTTAAAAAAAATCATGAGGAACGAGGTACTGACGCTGTAGCAGTGTAGCGTCAGTGCCAAACAAAGCAAAGCATTAAACAAATTCCGCTCTCAAGTCCAAATTTGATTGAGCTCCGCATAATATGTGTCAAAATCAGTTAAAATTGTACGGGAAACGCGCTTGGTTTATAAAATAGGAACCCTGCAATGCCTTCTTATGCCGCTTTTTCTTAATTGTCATCATAAAAACCTGATCTTTATTATCCTTTTTACGGAAGTGCCTGAAAGAGTGTGACGGCACACACTCCAGGCCTGTGTAAACCAGCCTTGTGTCTACTCCATTTCGCCAATGAACAGAAAATTGTTTAAATGAGCTCGCTGGTACTCTAGTTTTATCATTTAATTAACGCTCTTCGAAAATTTGGCGCGTAATTGGTGCACATTTATTCAGTGAAGAAAGTTCCATCGTTTCAAATTCAATTAGTGTACTTTTTGGTCGCACTTAAGAAACTGCTATATCGTTTAACTTCATTCCTGTGGTGCTAATTTAGGGACAATGTACGCTTGCATTAAAGGTGCGTTGATTGAACTGTATGTTTTTATGAAATATTTTTGAGGGTTTTCAGCGCTGTTCTCAAAAGTGTTTTACTGTGCTGACATCACTAGCTTCATTATTTGCCTTTTGTTGAAATAAGCAATGAGCGAGTCAGATTTAAACCTTTTAAATCCCGTCGCAAAATTGTACCTGTAACTGAAGCAGCGTTTCATTGTCAATGCAGCGTTATTTGTTCCTTTGTGTTCTAGAAAGAAAACGTTACAGTTTTCAAGTGTATTTTGAGAATTACTAAACATAATGATATTGCTATTAGTCATCACTGTCAAGAATGTGTGTGGAAAACAATCGAAATTGACTCAGCGTTATTTTACTCGTCGGCTCCGACGTTCAATATTATTTCCCTAATTATTTTCTTGGCTAGTAAAGATGTACTAGAGGCTGCTCGTGACTACAGCTTTATTTTTGTTACATGTTTCACGTGTATTTAAGCATTGAAGTCACATAAAGTTGAGATTTAAAATTATTTTTCGCCAATATTAATGGAGATTTTTCTGTCCGTTTCAGATGGAGAACCCCGCATACCTTGACAGCGATCAGTCTGTGTACGAAAGCTCCTCTTGCATCATGTCTCAACGCCGTCCTCACCACTTGCCGTCCCTACATCGGCCACCTCTACACCACCACCACCATCACACTCACCACGCAGCTCATCCACAACACCGCATCGTGGGTGGGGTAGCCAACGCAGTTCCCGGTAACACTTCCCACTCAACACCCGCCACTTCTCCCCAACAGCAGAATCCCCCCCATTTATTCTTCGGCGACCCGAACATGCCGCCTCCAGTGTACCACGCACAAGCTCCTGGCAACCACATATCTGGTCACACCCTCCCCAACAACTTGTCCAATAACGGCGCAATGTCTGTAGCTTTAACTGGCCCCTACAGAGCCGAACCTCTTTATTCTTGCCAGGCCCCGAGAGGTCACGATCACGTATACCAATGTCCCGGTCACCGGGCCGACCACAACAACCACATGGAGCAACTGGAACAGTTGGAACAGAGGCTCGACAGGCTACAGTTCCACAGGCAACAAGAAGAACCTCGTCCGGAGTACCAGTACGGCGGTAGTGATTATTCAAGTACAGAACCCATTTACGCACAACCTCAGCATCCTCCCGGGGAGTCTGTGCCTACACTAGCCTATGTTCAAACAGGCCGCACATCCTTGCGCAGTGGCGGCACGCACGGCACCCCTGCGCGGTTCTTGGTTCGCGCAGACAGTGTTGGGGCTTCGACTTCCTCGTCCACTTTGCCCACGGTGTCAGCGCTGCTGCCCCACGACCGTGCCCATCAAGCTCTAGATGCCAACAAGGCTTCACCAAGCACTCCCACGCCCACAAAGCTCAAAAGACAAGGATTCTTGAAGGCTTGGCGGCTCAAATTCTTGCGTGAAGAGAACGCTGCTAACGCCGGTGTCAACAACACCAGAAAAAGAGGATGTCTCCTCTTCGTCGGACTTCTTGTGCTCGTGCTGCTCTTACTTGGAGCCATGGCAGGCACTCTTTACGTTACCCGTAAGTACCTAAATTAATTATACACTCAAACTTTCTTAGAACGTCTTATAATTTTTCATTTGTTCTTCTACAAGACATAACTATAACTTTCTATAACTACGACATTCATCAAAATTTTCGTTGTACAAGTTGCTGCTCAGGATATATATACGTTTGGCCCGCTTGATTAGTTGTAGTGTGCCTCATATACGCTGCGATTTAAGAGTTGAATCTAATTAACCTGTGCGCGTCTTGCCGTCGTGATGAGTGTGTCGCTTGACAATACGTTGACAATATTAAATATATATATATAAGCTAAGTCCGGCTAACTTGCTAGATGAGTCGACCTTATGGTGATTTTAAGCTTCTAGTTTAGTGTAGTGTATCAGTACTTGAGCTAGTATTATTTGATCGTAACTAGCCTTCGAAAATTAGTCTTTGATAGTGTAGAAACTTCGTAGAAGATTTGTATTTTTCACTCTGCCCTTACTTTAGGTTTATTAATTCTTCATTTATTATCTGGACTTAGTTAGCGTTACAACGAAAAGTAAGCGTAATAATTTAGTTTCCTTCCTCCGTTGAACATTTGTTTGAAAACGAGTTGGATATTGTAGTGATTATAAGCAGCCTGTGTCGTTGCGTTGCATTCCTCCCTCACAAAAGGACAAAGTAATTAGCTGTAAAGCTAAATTACTATGAGCTAATTAGTGTAAGTGTGTCGTTGACAGACCTAACCTTCAGTCCCCATGCTGTGGTTCCAGCACGCCGCCAACTTGGCTTATCTGTCACGTGAACTTTTCTTATCGTGGCAAATGTTGCATACCCGAACAAAATTGTGCACCACAAAAATGCAAGTGCTACCACTCACGGGTTGACATTCTGCCGGTTAGGCTAGGATTCATTTAATTTTAATTTCATTCGAAATTTAGTTTACCTGAAAATGGTAAGACGCAATTGCGTAAAAATCCCGCGAATGAAAGATTTATCTTATTCAGTAGAGTTTTTGTGTTGGAGGCAATGTTGCCAATTGCAATCTTCTAAAATCATCTTTAAAGTTTTATTCGTTATTACTGGAAGCTTTTTATGCTTATTCTGTGCTCACATCAGTGAATATTTTAGCTCTGTCTGCGTTAACGAGACGACATTCGTAGGTAATTTACGGTTGAACTTTTTGTAGAAACGAGTATTTTGATACGACCAAATGAGTAAAAACTGAAATTTTGCCCTTTATTCTTCCGACCTAATAAAATCACCCGCGTGCTCAAGGAATGGCAATTTGCTATCCGTTCTGACATGTAGACTAAATTCAGCATGACCTTATCTAAAAGCTCTAGCATTCACTAGCCCTTCTGGAAATGACCTTAAACGTATGCTGAAAAGCAAGCAACTTCGACGTGTTGTGCTGTTCGTTTATGCTTATTATATACGCACATAGCAAGACATTGCTGCACCGCTTCATATGATAAAATCGTTGCCCGCGGCACTTGTTGCTCAAGCGACGTGTTTCATTCGTCTGTTCACTAATCGCGAACCTCTTTACAAAAATAGCTGCTCATTTTTGCCTTGTTTAATCAGCAGGCAAGGATGTTATTATTTAAAAAACGGTAAAACGCTGCCGATGACGTTTATATTTTGACTTATATGCAACTGAGCCGTTTTTATGAAATTAGTTCCCGACAGGACTTGACACAATTTTTCGTGATGATTGCGATATATATTCTTGCTATAGTGAATGTTTCTCAGACAACAAAATTATTCATTGTCAAGTTTTCGAACTTGACAAAGAACGCTTGTTTAGATTTAAGATCTGCTCTTCTCTAACAAAATGTGATTTACATAACTCATTCGAGGGAATTTATCGGCTGCTTACGCTCGCTCCTCAAAAAAAGGAGCGTTTTGCCCGCTGAGATCGATCGCGGTGCCGCGCCGTCCCACCGCGGTGCCATCGATGGCTTATATTGCTACGCGTTCTATGATCGCACACAGCCAAAAGGACGGCAATTTCCTGCGACTGAACGCACTCCCGGGAAATCTGAGCTACATTCAGCTCCTCTCATCATTTTAACATCGTTCTTTGGAAGCGTTTGCGATTTATGGTTGAGTTGGCTTTTGCTGCGGCGATGAGTTCTGAATAAGTGCCGCTCGTCTTACATAGCGAAATCTTAATGTTGATTATCATTGCAATGTTCAATTAATTAAAAAATTATACACTTCTTAGAATTCGACTTGGATATCGGAACAGATTCTCTCGATTCTGAAATGAGGCTTAAAAGACTGAGATTTTCTGGACAATTTTCACTTACGTATTCTACTTAATTCTTTTTCGATATCGTGATAGCTTTTATACGCTCTCCTTTTTTCTCTCATATTTACCAACCGAAACTTCTTACTTAAAAATATATACTGACCAAAAGCTTGCTCGTGCTGAAGAGTGAATGCCTAACAGAACAAGAATGCCAATAATGCTGAGGAGGTACACGTGGGATTCTGCCGATTTTTAAGCTCATTCTCGAGTTTTTGCCGAACGCCTTGTGCCGGTTTGTCTGGCCGACCTGCACGGAACCTCCAGTCCCGAGCTGTGGCGATCGCTGCGATGAAGTTGCAAGATTTACGATCTCGGAGGTCGAGGTCTCGACTGCCTTGACTTATGAGGCGCTCTTGATCGACCTTAGTGTTGCTCTGAAGCGCTTTATTTACCACGAAATGTTTGTGCGCTAAACTTCAATTTTTTCTATTTCAGTGGTGGTGCGCTAAACTTCAAATTTTTCTATTTTAGTGGTGCTGACGTGTTCCATGCTTCTTAAATTTTGAAGTTGGTAGTTAGTTTTAAAATGAACGTAATAAGTTTTTTGTAGATTTTTCTAATTTGTGGATCTTTCTAATATTTCAAGTTGTGCCAAACGTCTAGCATGGATCTATGTGCATGCCGAGTCCATAGCCAGCATGCCGAGCACACAGCCAGCATGTTGAGCCCATACAGCCAGCATATCGGTCACATATAGCCAGCATATCGAGCACATATAGCCAGCATATCGGTCACATATAGCCCGCATGTCGAGCACAAGAGTCAGCTTGGCGAGCACATATAGCCAGCATGGCGAGCACAAGAGTCAGCTTGGCGAGCACATATAGCCAGCATGGCGAGCACATATAGCCAGCATGGCGAGCACATATAGCCAGCATGGTGAGCACATATAGCCAGCATGGTGAGCACATACAGCCAGCATGGCGAGCACATATAGCCAGCATGTCGAGCACGCATATTCGGTGCGGGACGCGCGATGAAGCGTGGCAAGCCTGAGGCCACTCGCTGCCATTGCCCTGGCCTGCCATAGATCATTGGGCTCTTTTTCTTTTATTCCTGAGCTCCTTCATTTGCTGAGCCATGAGTTGATGAGATCAGCTCAACGCGAATGAGAAATCTGCTAATCAGGCTCTGGACGGACGGCTCTCTTGGTGCGATGAGGCCCATGACTCGTGTGGCGGTGTATGCTGGAACGGCTTTCAAGAGGCCGGTATTTGCTTTGGCATCGTCCACTTAGCTGTGCTCTACTCCACTCAATGATTCTCCGTGCCAATCCAGACTAATAACCTATGTTGCCTGCACTCTTCTGCGTGGGCTCCAAGTTACTTTGTAGCTCAAGTGTTTTTTTTTCTGGGGTTGGTATCTCGCTGTCGGTCTTGAGTGGTGCTAATAGATTTGTTTTTCGAAATTTTGTAATGGGCTTTCGTTTCTCGTCTCGCAGCCACATATGGAATTATTCGTTTACACACCGGAGATGCCAATCATGCTATTATCTTCTAAGTATATTTTTTTTTTGAGCACAAAGATGAGATTTTCTCTCAATTAGTTTGCATCTACGCATAGTAGATCAGTATAATAACGAAAGAAAAACTTAAATGGCGTACGATACATTAAAACAAAAAATTTAGATTTTCTTATAATGTATATATGTGCGGAAATTTCAGAAGGAAAGCTGTAGTGCCTTCTAGTGAAGTGAAAGAGGTTATGTACGAGACCGCGTTGGCAATGAGAAGCGCTGCAAGTCGCTACTCATTGGTCGCTGTACGAGACCGCGTTGGCAATGTGAAGCGCCGCAAGTCGCTACTCATTGGTCGCTGTACGAGACCGCGTTGGCAATGAGAAGCGCCGCAAGTCGCGCTGTTGGGAAGCTTAAGCCTTGCAATAATTGGCCGTTGTCACCCTGATTCATATGCGCCGAAGCCGCGCACTCTGTGGCAGCGCGTCCATCATACGCCATTACTCGCGTATACTTCAATGGCCCTGGGCTGCCGAGCGTCCTTCAGATATTCCACCGTTTATTGAGCAAGCCGATAGTGAGGATCACTTGGAACTGGAAAACTGTTGGTATAATTTGTTACCTTTTCAAAACAAAATGCTATTTATATATGAGTAAATTCAACTCTATTTTCTTTTCTGCATTTCAATTGATAAAGTGCTGGCTCAATTGTTAGGGGCCTCTAGTGATCCGGGGTCTTGTTAGACCGACAGACGCCGTGACAAGCCCTGGTCTGGGAGCTGGGTGTTGAAAAAGCAGTTTACGAGATCGCAGAGCCAAGTGCCTATAAATATGTATTTTCACAGCTTGCTGATCGTTCATGTGAGATGAAATTTTTTGTTAACCTTTGATTTACATACTAACTTTGGTTAACCTCGGTTAAACCTTTATGTACTTCAGACTTGAGTGTACAGAGGAAACATGTGTTCGTTATTGTCCGTAAACCCTCTAAACTGATAACGTTCGTTTATCGATAGAAATGGGATAGAACTTGAAAATATACCAAAATATCTTCGTGAAAATTTACAAAAGTAAGCTGCAATAGGTTAGAATTATCCGCATTCTGAATTGTTTAATTTACTCATTACTCCTTTTTCAACAAAATTACATGTATTGAAATAAAATTTATAAATGCATAATCTATTCGGACGTATTGTTGCGGCATCGAAAGTTTTTTATTTTGAAGTTAAAAGTTAGAAGTGTTATTGGTTGGAAAAGTTT